TTGCAGTGCCACAGCAACCCATACAAGACCACAAGTGAAATAACACATATTTCACATACCTGGGAAATGAGAGATTTAGAATATTCTGTCAGGTTAAAAAAAAAAAAAAGAGGAAATATTCCTGATTTTCTTAGAAGTCCTTAACACTTGCCACAACTTTCTGGTGAGGCCATACTATTCTCCTTATTGCGGCATACACATTTAGAAATGTCATTCACTCTCGTGTATGTGAGAGCATTCATTCTACTCTTTCTTGTCTCTTATTGTTGTACATATAGATGATTTTTTAAGATAATGCTTTAAATAGATTGTTTTTAAGTAGTTGGACTTAACTAATAGTTGGACTTAACCCAGGGTCTCACAATTGCTGGGCAAGTGCTCTACCACTGAACTACACAGCCCCCAGTCCTGATTAGGATATGTTGTGTGGGTATTTAAATCTCTATACAACAAAAGTCAGAGTAGCACACAGTAATTATTTGCTTCTTAAAGGTCAGCAAGAGGCCGGGCGTTGGTGGCGCACGCCTTTAATCCCAGCACTTGGGAGGCAGAGGCAGGTGGATCTCTGTGAGTTCGAGGCCAGCCTGGTCTCCAGAGCGAGTGCCAGGACAGCCTCCAAAGCTACACAGAGAAACCCTGTCTCAAAAAAACAAAACAAAAACAACAACAACAACAACAACAAAAAGGTCAGCAAGAAAGCAGAAGCAGCTAATACAATCTGGCTCTAGCCTAAAGTGTTTACCAACTGCATTTCCAAGCAGAAAAATGCTTCCTTTTGATTTTGATTTTAGAAAATCTTGATATATGGGTAGTTCTTATGACTATACTAGAAACAATGAACAAAGACCAAAGAGGTCGAGACTGAGCAGGAAGATAAGGAAGGCTACACTTCGGATAACACAATTTTGAACAATATAGAAGGGAGTTTAAGTGAGTGTTCTCTGCTGAGAGCTAGGTGGACACTGATACACAAAAGTAAGTGGGAGGCAGGGGTTTGGCAGTGGCTCAGTGGTAGAGGGGAAAACGGAGATTAAAAGATAGAGCCCATGGGAAAACAGTGCATGTGGTTAAAAAACAACAAAAACAAACAATACAGCCATCATAACAGGAGTCTGGAACTCTTCTAATGAGGACTTTTACTAATTCCCTCTGTATTTGGCCAATCCGTTTTTACTATAATGAACCTCCCACATTAATTCAACCAAATGAAGCGACTTACTGAACGTGTGTAAGACCACATCATCAGCTTTCCTGGATCTTTTATTTACACATGTCCTATTCAGGACTTAGTCTCCATCATTGTGTGAGTCAATCATTATAATAAATTAGTAACCTTATATGTAAAGAATGCACACATTAGATATATACCTGATTCTTTCCCGTGGAGAGCCCTAACCAACACAGGTCATTTCCCAACTTCCGTTGTGTGTTGTGCATATAGTGACTCAACCATGGCAGCCTCTTTATACTGCATAGTGGAAGGTGAGAGGGCCTTTTAGGAAGAGATGCACAGAACACATGCAACATAAGTGATGCAATTAAATGCATCATGCTCCCTGGACACCATCTAAGAATGTTCCCCGAAGGACAGATTTATTTTTGGCACACCCAAAAGGTTTTTCTGGCTCCCAAGTGCTGAACTTCCCTAGGTCCTGAGAGTTATTCTTGATGTTCCCCTCTCCGTTCAAGCCATCACCATGTACAGTGGGCACAGGAGCCTAGAAAATGGATTCAGAAATCATTGTAAGAAGACGGGGACAAAGTTAAGTGTCTTTGGATCCATAAAGCTATAACGTGAGCAACACAAAATAAAACATTCAAGCAGGACTAACTGGAAGATAAAACAAGAGACTCAGAAGTCTAATGACGTTTCTTGGGAAACACTGCAAACATTTCTTTTCTAAGTCAAATCAAGTCCCCCTTCCTGGGCCATCCCAACAGGTTCTTATCTTCAAACGTCTTGACCCACACCTCTTATAACTGGAGCGTGGGTGCCTCTCAGCCTCTAGACTTGAGCATACTATAAGGTTTGACAATCCGGAGCAGATGCCCTCAGGTGCCACCATGCTGCCTCTCTTATACCCTTGACTCCTCTTTATGGGAACTTGGGGCAGCATCTGATGCTGTAAGCACAAAGTAGCACCTCCAGAGTTATTCAGAGCCATGCCCAACTTCTTTCAATTCAGCCTAATGAACTGAGAAGTGAAGCCTGAGAGCTCAACAGATGAGATATAAAAGAACTGACAAAGACTCTAGATGGATAGCAGGCAACTAGTAGCTTGCTGAATTTAGAAAATGTTTCCTCTAATATCCAGAACAAAATAAGGCTATCTGTGGGCTGAGCAGGAGATTGTATGCGTGTGCACATGTGTGTGTATAAGTGTGCTCACCCATACAGAGGCCCTAAGTCTACACTGGGATTCTTCCTTTATTTTCACCTTACTTTTTAAAACATGGTCTCTCTGAAAACATGGCCACTCTGGCTTTGCCAGAGTGGCTGGGGCGCCA